AATTGTTAATCATCGTTATCTACCGTTACTGTTAGATAGCATTGGATTAAAACAATTAGGAAAACATAGGTTCTCTTTGTCTGCTTTTTGTAGAAATGGATTCACACTTTTTTTTGTTTAGCCTTTTCCTCAGCATTCTGCGACTCTGTTTAGTGTAATGGGGAAAAAACGGTGACATTTGCGGTAAAATATTCACAGTGAAAGGGCTTTAAAAGGCAATTTAAAGGATTTAAAAAATGTTTTTTGCAGTCCTGTGAATGTTGTACTTCTGTGTACAGCTGTCTATCTGTGATTTTTAAAAAAAATCATTTTAAATTCTCCAATAAAAAAAATAGGAACATCCTCGGCTTTTGGCTGTAAATTTACATCCTTCAGTATTATTTTGAATGAAATGCTTTGTTAAAGACAATATTAGTCAATTGACTTCCACTGTGCATGTGCTGTATTTATTTCAGGCCAAGCTGAACCGTGGAGAGAGCAGTTTATCTGGAGCCCTCGCCTACGACGTGGCCACTCTCATTAAACAGTTCTGCAGGGAGCTGCCAGAGCCTCTGTTTCCCAGTGAACTCCATGCATCTCTGCTGAAGGCCCAGGGACTGTCCAGTGCAGAGGACAGGATGTCAGCTCTGCAGCTGCTCTCCTGTCTCTTACCTGCGCAGAACTTCTCCTGCCTGCATTATCTCTTCAACTTCCTGTCTGCCATCGCCCAGAGGTAGAGTACGGACACAGGAGTCGTTAACCCAGATTATTTTAGGCTCACTGACATCACAACTGTTGTTTTCCTGCTGTTACCCTCTGGTCACAGGTGTTCCGAGAACTTAATGACCATCTCCAACCTGGCCACAGTCTTTGCTCCGTGTCTTCTCCCTCCTCCCGACAAGACTGAGATGTCTGAAGGACGACTGGAGCTCAGGGTTCGAGTTTTGAGCACCTTCATTGAAAAACCTCACCTGTTTGGTAATGAGCCACATTATTAAACGTGTATTCAGAAAATGATTTACCTGTTGACTAAGGTTATCTCCCGTGTCCCTCAGGTGTGATTCCCAAAGCTGTGATGGACAGTATGCTTTTCCTCACAAACCTCCGTATCCCAAAAAAAACACCTTCTAAAAAAGTGCAGAAAAAGAGACACAGTTTTAAGAGTAAGAAGAAAAATAAAAAAGATTCTGTTCTAAAGTAGCCTCTCCTGCTGTACGTTCTCCTAATGTTTACTATTGTTCAGTGATGCCATCTGTGAAGACGAGGTCAAAGTTCACTCCTGCTGCATCTGAACCCAGCTCAGAGTCCACATCAGAGGCTAAACCAGGCATGAGGAGGAGCCAGGGTTTGGGGACATTTCCCAACATCACGCTCTTCAGGACGTGTCTGCCCTCTACTGGTGAGCACGGGTTCTCTGAGAAAAAAATAAACTTTGCTGTACCCAAAAAGTAAAAAAACTAAAAAAAAAAACTAAACCAAAACTGAACTAATTTACAGAACAAGCTTCCTGTTCCATTATGTCCTATGAGGATCCAATGCAAAGTCTATTAAAAAGGTAAAATACAAATACATACAAAGATTGGTTTATTCCTATTACTAAAAAGTACCAGGAACTAAAAACACTATGCATTTCCAATTAGCAAATCAAAGGACAAATAGTAGTGCATTCATTTTTGAAAATATGTAATTTCAGGAGACTGTAAACACTGCATATCTGAAGGTTCCTGAAAGAATAATCTGCACATGCTCCCAAAAAAAGTTCTAAAGAGTGATGGCAGTTAATTGTTTTTGTTTTCAGAGAATTACGTTTGGGTCCCATGTTCCACAGAGGACATCAGACAGACGTGGACACACTCGGTGGTTTAAGGAAGCTGCAGCTCACACCCTCTTTGTAACACGTCACAGGACTGTGAGGTAGCCACACTGATGGACTGCAAATGTCCACTTAGAGTAGTACAACGAATAGACCACTGCTGTGGGCCACATGACTTATTTTAAACATAATATTAATTTAAGACAGTGATGTTGTTGGTTGGTTATTTATTCTTAATCATGTGTTAAATATGTTTTTGGTCATTTTATATCAGATAAATAAATATTTAAACTTTTTATATTGTCCACATCAAAGGGATCGTCGTGTGATGTTCGGACAAAACCCGATTCATAATTATGATATTATTATTTGGTCTATAATGTATGAAAGTGGAAATGTTTCTTAGGCTGCAGATGATCTCATGATTATTCTGTAGTCTCGATGTAACAAGAGTGTTTACTATTTCAACCAATCAGGGGAGAGGATTTTTGTTCTCATGGTAACTGCATCTGATCCGTGATGAGAGGTGGAAAGTGTCCTCCTCTTCTTTCTCCTAATGGTTACTTAATGCTCAAAGATGAGTACACCGGATGCTCAGCGGGTTCCTTCAAAACAAGAGAGATATTTGTAACAAACAAATGGTTGAAAAAACGAGTACATTATTTACGTACACAAACCAAACTTTCCCTGCTCTACATAATAAGCCTTGTTTTTTTTAAACGGTATTATTATTTAATTTTTTTAGGAGCAAAACGAATTTTTTCGTATGACCATGGATTCAAAATCTTACCAACAATAAGTTTGTTTAAGAAATAATAACATAAAACGTAAAAGATGTTTGCGGTCCTCGCAATTATGTCCCGGACGTTAATTTAAAAACATTCTAACAAATATCAAAACTATTGCGTACTGCGTATTGCTTTGCGACCGAGTGTCTACTTTTATTTTGACAAGGCGGAAATCCTCTGTGGCTACAACGACTCCCAGCATCTCCCAGCATCAGCACCAATATCATCATCTCGGTAAGAAAACACAAACGCATCTATTTTTAAAATATATTCTTTCATTTGTCGCTAATTTCTAGATAGAAATTAGTAAAGCGCGCTCTTATATTTATTTACAATGTTTTTTTACGTCGTTAACAGATTTTCCGTCGTATGTTATGGTTAATGACATTTTGTTATTGTTGATTTGTGTTTACTTTAACATAAAAGCACTCTTTAAGTCTGTCTGTCTATTATAGAGTTATTATATTCAATATACGAGACGATTAATGATAATTGTAGGTGACGATTTTGCGCGTTTATTATTACATATCTGAAATACGCATCTGCGTTCGTCCACAATTACTCCTGCACTGATGTCTGTGACATTTTGTCCAGTTAATATTTAATATAACATTTTCCCCTCCTCACGAACAGACGTCGGTAATGTCGGTTATGGCCTCAGCGGTGCGGTGGTCGCTGCTCGCCCTCCTCCTGTGGCTGCAGCTCGGATCAGCTCCGGCCCGCAGCCTCCGCACCGTGGACCAGGTTTCTGAGGCCGACATCCAGCGACTCCTGCACGGCGTCATGGAGCAGCTGGGCATCGCTCGGCCCAGGGTGGAGTATCCCGCCCACCAGGCCACAAACGTCGTGGGACCACAGAGCATACAAGGTAGGTGGAGGAGAGATGAATTTTAAAAAGAAATCGTTAATTTATTTCGATAGCACAACGCATAGCAATTTGTACAAAAGTTGGGATCTGATGTGCATTAGCTTCGCCTTTCTCCTCCCAGCAGGGGGTGCTATTAATGCTTCTTCTGCGTCATAATTTCATGTAGGCGTCTTTATGTCTCATTCATTTATTAAATTTCCAGTTTGTGGCTGTTTTCCAGTCCATCAGTCATATATATATATATATATTTTTTTTTTTTTTTAAGTTCATAATATACAGTTGCCTAAAGAATCTGGAAAAACCCTATACAGAAATATCTTTCAGAAAATTTTCCGATTTAGATCTTTGTTTAAATTTACAACATCAATGTTGAATTATACACATTTAATTTATAACTTCTGCTAAAATAGTTTTTATTGTAATTATTCATATTTTTCTCCACCAGGTGGTGCTCACGAAGGGTTGCAGCACTTGGGCCCTTACGGAAACATCCCAAACATCGTGGCAGAGCTGACAGGCGACAATGTTCCCAAAGACTTCAGTGATGACCACGGATACCCTGACCCCCCGAACCCCTGTCCTCTGGGAAAATCTGGTACGAAGTTCATAAACCTGCGTGTTGTTTTCATCATGATGGTGCGTCGACAGATGACTTTTATAGGTTTTCATGTAGTGTCATCCCTCTGTGTGTTTTCTCACAGCAGCTGATGGTTGTTTGGAAAAAGCTCCAGACACTGCAGAGTTCAGCAAAGAGTTCCAGAAACACCAGCACCTGTTTGACCCCGAGCACGACTATCCAGCACTGAGCAAATGGGTGAGTGCTACTTTTGACTTCCATCGACATGAAACCACAAAAAAAAAAAAAATGTAAATCTGATAGTGTTCAGATGATGACTGTGTTGAAAACTGTGTTTTTCAGAATAAGGAGCTTTTGTACCAGAAGTTAAAGGGAGGTCCAAAGAGGAGAAAAAGGGTAAAAAGAGTTCCTTTTTTTATTTTATTTTTAAGATTGACATTAATAATGATAAATCTTACAATCTATCAATCAATCTACATGACTTACATTATACTTCTATTTCTGTTTGTTTCTGCAGAGCACAAATCCATATTTAATGGGCCAGAGACTGGACAACGTGGTGGCCAAGAAATCAGTTCCTCACTTCTCTGAGGAGGAGGAAGAGGAGAAAACGACAACGATGGAAGAAGTACCTGATGGTTCTGCTGCGGACAAATCCAGCAGTTAGACACACGGCCAGTGTCGTGACACAGTCCACTGTCAGAGACCAGTCTTAACACTGTTCAGTCAATTTTAGTTAAGTAGTTCAAAAGTTAAAAAAAAAAAACTGGGAAAATCTGAAATATTAGGGATTATTGTTTAACAGATTAGACCCAGGCTCTAATACAGTGACACTGCTTTATCATTGTGATGTCAGTCTCCAGGATGAAAAGCTAATTATGTGAGCATCTCATCCTTATCAGACGGCCCTGCACCTGCACCCTGCTGCAGTACAGTACAGTACAGTACAGTACAGTGGTCTGCCTGTCTCTGACCCTCTGTGACCTTGACTCCCAGGCCGTAGTCACAGGGCAGCCTGTTGAACCCAGGTACAGGACTTGGTTCCTGGTCAAAGAAAGACGACATCAACCACGATGTCTTACAAGGCCGGAACTGAAAATCACATTTGAATTTATACATTTATAAAAGTATAACTAATAAAAATGGCCCTGGAATACTTCTGATGAGGATTTTCTTTTTCTCTACATTTACTTCAAACCCTGAGGAATCAAAACAAAAACTGAATTTTAAACTGTAGATAATGTACATACAGTAAAACCACTTCAACATAGTTAAATGAAATACAGTATGTGGTGTTAAGTGCCTCTCTGACAGTGTACTGTGTACTTTACAGCTGTATTACAGTCTGTAAGGTTGTATAAATATTTACTGATCAGGAAGAATATTGATGAAATTAAACAAACGGTGATTTAAGTAGATTATAAATAAAAAATGTTAATGAGTAAATGTTTTTGTTTTTTTTGTTTTGTCACCACCAGGCAGTGGCGGCCATGGCATATTTGGCGCCCCCCACCCATTTGTGTCTCGGTATTTCTCTGAGAATTTACATACATTCACAAAAGTAGAACTTCCAGCAGTATTTAGAAAAGTGAGTTGTAAATTCATCATAACTAATCATGATCAATGTACAGTTACAGTTCACCAGATTAGAACTTATAATTGTGCCCTTTGATGGACCGCGCCCTCAGTATTGCCCCACACTGTCTGTGCCACGGCCCGGCTCTGCCTGCAGTGATCTCCTCCAACAGCACAGACCATTGAAGTGTGTGTGTTGTCGTGTACTTGACTTGAACGTTTCCAGATTGTCTTTGTGTGTAGTATATAAACAGGAGCGGAAATCTCCGTCTGTCAACTGTTTGTTTGTTTTCTGTTCTGTAAAGACAAATAAACGGTTTATCTGCATTGACAAAAGGTGGAGGGGGAGTACAGGAGGGCTTTTATTTTGTTGTCGGGGCAGATAAAGTCGGGATCAGGGTTCTGGGGGCGGGTTTTGGTTCAACTCTGGAGCTGCTGTTCAAGTTCAAGGCGTCTGAGCGAATCCCGGCGCGCGTCATTTACAAAGGGACTGCAGTGGAGCTGAAGAGGAAACTCCGTAAAGGTCAAAGGAACAGGTAACTGGAACTGGTGTTCATTTCACTACTTTGACTGCTGTAGTTGATCAACAATATCACTTCAAGATGCTGTTTGTTGTCGGAACGTCTGTGCGTAATACGTGCGTAAAAGCTCTCCATTAACGTGTACTTTGTTTTCAGGTTCGCTGTCAGCTTCAATGATGACGACGCCATCACTGCTGTTCTCGGTTGTGGGTTCAATTCTGCTGCTCCTGCCTCTGAGGAGCACAGACGCGCTCTTCCAGAATTTCCAAAGCGCGTTACCACATCCAAACAAGTATAACCCAAACGAACCGGAGGGCTGCCTGCCCCCGGCCCTCAGCGGACTGATTTCCCGGGGATCCCCGGGTCCCGTGTCCGCCACAGACGAGGTTCTGGAGTCAAGTCAGGAGGCTCTGCACGTCACGGAGCGTCGGTACCTGCGCATGGACTGGTGCAAAACGCAGCCGCTGAAGCAGACCATCCGTGAGGAAGGCTGTCTGAGCCGCACCATCATCAACCGCTTCTGCTACGGTCAGTGCAACTCCTTCTACATCCCGAGGCACATCTACGAGGACGGACACGTGTTCGAGTCCTGTTCGGCCTGTAGGCCCAAGACCTTCAGCACCGTCACGTACACGCTCTTCTGTCCCGGACTGACGCCGAACACCAGGAGAAAACGGGTGCAGCGGGTGAAGCAGTGCCGCTGCACAACCATCAACATGGATTAGACCGAGAGGATGGATGAGGAGTTTAGACGAGGAAAGAAAATGGGAGAAAGGAAAACTGAAGCAGCACTAGAGGAGAACCAAAGGAGAACCAGAAGAGAGCCAGAGTTTGAATGAGAACCAGAGGAGAACAAAAGGAGAACCAGAAGAGAGCCAGAGTTCTGTCGTTGTTGCATTTGTTTTTAAAGATTAAAGACATAATTCCAAGATTTTTAATAGATAATTTCCAAGATCCTCACTCCAATCTTAGGTCAGGATTGTTAGGATTCCAGTCTCAGGAGAACGTATTTCCCACCTTAATCCTGAATTCCAATTTTAATCTGAAAATGCATTGTATCAGAAATGCAGTGTTAATAATTTGGAATGAATTTCTCGCCGTAATCCCCTAAATCCAAAGCATGGAAATTTAATCTTAAATTTCAAGGGAAAAAAAAGAAGACCGTTGAAGTCAGACTCACCGCAGAAAGAATAAAAACCTAAATGAAAACCCCCTGAAACTCCTTGGAACCCAACAGGTTTTCTGACGTCGTTGTTGACATGGTTTACAGGATGGTGGAAGAAAGACAAAGACCCTGACTCCAAAGGGACATTTTTATTTGATAGTTTCCACTGTGTGGGATGTACAGTTGAAGGCTTTTATAATATAAAAGTGCTGATTTTCTTTTCTGTCTTTTTATTTTATTCCAGTATGTTTAATTTCAGACCTGCACTGCTGAACGCCACTTAATGGAACACATGTCACCTGTATTGTTTCACCTTGTAAATAAAAAAATAACATTCCAGGCTTTAAAGTCGTCTATGGTTTTCTTTTACATGTACACGACACAGAAATGATTAAAAAAACTGTTGCCTCTTGACTTGAGACGTCGAGATAATACACTGTGGACGGTCGGTGTCTCCCAGTTTGAGGACACGTTTTACACTTCTTTCTGACGCAGTCGTTCTTTCTGTTTGAGGACAGATGGAAATGTTAGATTCAAATTGTTTGGTTTTTTTTTTCTTCTTCGTTTTGTCGTTAGAAATGTTAGATTCAAATTGGTTTTTGTTTTTTTTTTTTTCTTCTTCGTTTTGTCGTTTTGCTTCTCACTGCGGCGTCTGTCGTTCTTACCAGACAGTTGGGGTTGGCTCTTTTTGCTTCTCACTGCGGCGGCTGTCGTTCTTACCAGACAGTTGGGGTTGGCTCTTCTGGTTTCTACTTTCTTCTCTGCCGTGAGTCTCTTGATGGACAGCTGAGCCTCCTTTAACCTGCAGTAGAAATAAATCTAATCACTTTGGGGAAGAGAACAGTGGAAGCGTGGTGTGAGGGCTGTTGCCTTACAGCAAAGAGTCGTGGGTTTGATCCTGAACAGATGGTCTTTCTGAATGGAAATAATGTTGTCTTCTCTACAGAGAGACCAGCAGTTACCACCGGGGATCAAACAGCTAACATTATTTCTGTAAGGCAAAAGCACTAACCACTCTGTTTTTATAAAGTGTCTATGTATGAACTTTTCATTCTTTTGTGACAGGAAACTCACACGAGGAACGTATTTTATTTAATTAAAGGTTAGCAGTGAAAACTTTTATAATTTCCGCTGATGCTAAAATAATTAGAGGAAAAACTGTCGTCTTTTTTGACTTGGAGTGTTTGGAGTGGAGTTCTCTCCACACAATCACATTTTTGATGCCTTTCAAACTGCTCAGAGAATTCAAAGCAGCCCGTCTGTCACTGCGTCCACATTTTCTCTGCTCCTGAGGTTTGACGTGAACACTGACTCCTGACTCCTGTCGGCTTGATTTTCTGTATCAGAGGGAAGACGGAGCACAGGTGTGGCTAATGAAGCGATCTGTCAGCGTTTACCTCTCCTTGGAGATATTCTTGTTCTCCTTTTTCCACCTGGCTTTGAAGTCTGTGCAAAACTCGAACCAGAGCATGAAGAAATGACTGGTGGGCACGTCCTTCTCCCCAGTCTTTGGGTTCAGTCCAAAATACAGAACCAAATCCTGAAAACTGAGCAGATACACACAGTTACTGACCCAAGTATTAGAATTGAAGTATACAATTATTACTAAATATTTTCTGTGTAAAACGAATTACAAACTGCCCAATCTGGGAGAGCAGAGAAAATGAGGTGAAATTAATTTTTCTCCTGACCTTTTGTGGACATTTGTCAGCTGACAGGAAGCTTCTGTGTGTTCTTTTCGTGCTGCAAAGAAGCCGACAGTTACTGCATACTCTGGTTTAGTTTTTCAGTTTAACCAAACTAGCCAGGTTAACTTTTCTTTTCCCCTGTTTCTAAAAACATTGACAGTTCATCATCAATGAGCAAAGTCACAGGACAACACTGATGCAGACAGACTGTCTCACTGCTGTCTCACTGATCCTAGAAAGACTTTCTATAATATTTCACATGCCTACACATTCTGTGATAAAAAAAAGACTTTCTTAATAAAAGAAAAACCTCTCGGCTGCTTTAAAGATTTTTCTTCTTTTCTTTTTTTTATGGCAGACTTTCTGAGAAGCAGCAGTGCCTGTGTGTCTCAGGCAGGAGTCTCAGTCACTGCCAAATCTGTCTGATCCTTATCTGAGTGTCTAGCCTCCAACACACACACACACACGCGGGCAGTGAAAAGCGATATTTTGTGGCTAGCTGCAGGATGAAAGCTACATTTATCTGACAGCTGGAGAATATGGAATAATTTATAAAGAAGTCAAATGGAAAGAACAACTGAAGCAGAGCTCAGATGAAGTAAATTAAACAGCAGCTGGAGAGTCTGAAGGAACTTTTCTCCAAGACTCAACCTCACTTATGTTTTCAGAAATCATCAGGAGTCGACTGGAAAACTGTTGCACTGAAATATTCCAGTACTGAAATCAATCGCTGAAAAAATAGCAGTGATGCTAATTATCATCCTGGGAAAATCCAGATATATCAGCTCAGGCATGGCTAAAAGGTAGAGAAAAAAAAACTATATTTAGACTTTGGTTAAAGATGCTAAAAGAAAAAGCTAAAGGTTCGAGAAAAATGGCTAAATATTAGTCAAGTTTATAATTAGACATGTAGTAAGAAATATACAAAAACATATAAAACTGCAGAAACCGTGTATCTAAGACTTTAACCCCAGTTAGTGAAATGCATGTGAAAAACATGGGGATCTTAGAGAAATGTTTTTGTCATTTGTGATCATTTTTGTTCACGTGCAGTGGTTCAGTTCTGTAGTCTGTGTGAATGGGAGTCAGTGGTTGTTAGGGCAGAACCCCGTTCTCTGGACTCACCGCTGAGAACAAAAGCCTCCATCCTGTCTTTGAACGGCTGCAGGTGTTCCTCAGGGGAGTCGCAGCAGACGTTCTGCACACTTGTCTCACAATCTGACAGAAAAGAAAAGAAAAACAGTAGAAATTACGAAGAGTGGGGATTATTTGTCGTGATCAAACACGAACCACTAGGTCTTTAGTTAGCTTCTGTGCCATTTTTACTCAGGGTTTGGGCGTTTTACTTTCTGTTAGTAACAGTTAACTGTTGTATATATTTGACTGTCCTTAGGCTTGTTTTTTTTACCTTTGTTCATCTCTCAACTAATCATCAGCTCAGTTTCTCGTATGTGTTTTTATTTTGACTGTTTTCGACAACTTCTGAGGTTATATTTTTGGCATATGTCGTTCCCAATATTCTTGGCTAACACCGACATCGTTCTGTGCTCTTTTTTTAATCTTTGGAGAAAATCTGAAACTACTGGTGAGTTAACTGATAGTTGTCTTTTGGCCACATTTTAGATCGACCTAATAAAATGATCTATGGCTTGACCACAGTTACCTTTGCTGCCAATGTTTAGAAACTGTTTGCTAACATTTAGCCATGCTAATCATATCACTAAGGACAGTGAACTACAGCAGCACAGTGGTAACTTGGCAGATGGTGGACTTGAACCTTCTGGACCCAAGTCCGCTTCCTTAACCACTGGGCCACCACTGCCCTGTAGATGATTCAGGTGCTGCCTTTAACTGTCTTGATTTGGTTTCACTCTTCTTAAAGCAGCTCCTCCTGTGACGGAGCAGGAGGTTATCAGCTCAGCTTCCTCCTCCTCGTTGTTCTCCTCAGATATCACTTATTGAGATTCACCCAGAGATGGCGACGTCTCCTCTCTCTCTCTCTCTCTCTCTGTCCCTTCCTCTCCTCTCCTCTGCCAGTCTCAGGCTCCACGCTGCTCTGCATCCAATCAGTGGATCAGAGGAGCCAGTCTGCGGAGCCAGTCATAATAGAGGCTGCCGAGGGAGCCGTGGCCCCCCCCCCCACCAAACCCCCTGTCCCTCACCCCTGCTCCCTCCACAACCCTGACGCTCGATCAACATCTCCCAGATAAGATTACAAAAGAATACTGTTTTCATTCAGGGATTTGTGTAAACTGTGGAGGCTGCTTTGACCCCCCCCCCCACACCGACCTCCTCCGAGCCCCCCCCTCGTCCCGGTCTTTCTTGTGTCTACCTCCTGAACCTAAAGAAAGTTTGCTTACTTGAGTCTGAAGATGGTTTTGTTGGGGGCTGACATAAACAGAGCAGAGCGATGAGCAGTGTGCTGCCCCCACACACACGCCACTGGAACTACACGGTGGTTTGGACGCGTGGTGACAGACAAATGCAGCAGGGAAGAGGTTCAAGAGCTGATGCTCCTGGAGTGTTTGGATTCATCCGCTTCATAAATCACGTGAATGTGCAGCAAATTTGATCGTATCAATCAAATGGGTTTTTCCGAATCGAAGCGATTTGTTTTCGTGTGCTTCATTTTTCATGTTAGGAAACCCAAATGTTTGAGAGTTTTCAACCCAGACAGTCACAGATACTGTTCATGTAGGACAGAAATACCAGAAAAAAAATCCTTCTGGTTCTTCAAGCCCTGGTATCCCTCAGGGCTCTGTCTTCTGTCCTTGATTTGTCTGTATTTTTAACACAGTCATATTTTTTATCTTTGAGGTTGAGGATCAAATTATTGTCATTAATTATTATTATATAATGTCGTGCAAAAAACAAAAAAGAAGTCAAGGTCAGGGGGTATCAGGGTCTGAACAAGAACATTACATTTGAGTCGTTTGTTATTGTGAAGTATTCTGTGTACTGAGGTACAGTACTCTAACCACAGTACACTGCAGTTCATCCAGTATGAAATATAGATGATTTAAGAGAAACCTTATCTAGCTCGGAGGCATCTTAGCAGCAAAGACAAAAACAAAGGGAGAGTGAGGAGCGACAGCAGCAGAGCCTCAGCCCCGGCATGAGGGCGGTTCAAACAGCCCCAACAAAGGAAGTTGCCACGGCTGATCTAGATGGTACGGTGGTTTGGGTAGACAGCACGATAAGACAAAGCCGTGTTGAGAGCTGAAGAAAGGTATCTGCGGCGCGCATCTGCGGGCCACACTGGAGCCCCGCTGATACGGCCCGGCAGGTTAAGGATACATGCAGAGGTCTGAGCAGAGATGCTGCAGATACTGCAGGTCTGGAGATTACACAAGTGGGAGAAGACTTGTACTGTGTGCTGGCGACGGGGGCACAAATGTACAAAGGCACAAACACAAACGGTAGATACGATGGGCACGAGGATTAGGAGGTCGACCTGAGAGGCGCCAGGACAGTATCAGCCAGTCTCTGAGCACATGCACGGGAAAGTGAAAAACACGTGATCACATTTTTCTGAGAAGTTGGTAGATTTTCTAAAAAATAATTTAATTTTTTTTGGTGGACTAGAACTTAAAAGACTGCAGAGACCGATCCTTTGGAAGATACTGTACCTCCTTGATACCTTTCCTTGGTACTCTGACCAGTGAACAGCTACGCTGCGAAGCAGAAGTGCAGTTTGTTACTTGTATTCTCCAACTCGTTGTGGAGTGTTTCCTATTTTTGGGTCATGTTTCTAATAAACCGAGCGCTCGTTGTTTTTTTTAGAGACTTGTCTGACTATAGAATGTATGCACAGTCAGTCGAACAGTGGACTCAGATGAAACAGTCGACTGTAGGAGACAGCATCACTGATCTGATTGGACGAGATGTCGTGCTGAGTAGCATCATGTGTTCACACTAAGAGTCTTTTGTTCTAATAAATTCCAGTCTGGCCTAAACCATAACCATGTTCTCCAGTGCTGGGGCCTGTGATGGGAAACTAGGAGGGTGAGTTTTTAAGAGGAGGGGTTTGGAGGCAGTCGGCTTCCAAACCGAGCCGAGGTTTGGTCTCCAAATCACAGTGATAGAGTTACAAAGGCTGGCTGAGGTTTTCAAACAAAAGCACACAACAAAATGACCACAAGGCGGGAGTATTCCGGCCACATGGGTGTCCGTCTGCTCGGAGCGGAGCTGATGTTTTGGTGGAATGTGTGTTTAACCGACCACAGTGAAGCCCAGAGAATCCAACCTCTCCTTCTGGAGGTCTGTGAAAACCATAGACACCACGTACCTGTCAGGTCTCGTCCGAGTTGTTTCAGGTCACGGCTGAGGTCGTCAAACTTGACCTGTGCTGCCAGGAACAAGTCCTGAGGTTCAGGGAGAGGGAACATGCTCTTCTCTGTTCCAGCAGCCTGGTGGGACGTGACCACAACAACAACAACAACAACAACAACAGAAAAGATCAGAGTTAAACCAGGCTCTGAGAAATGGATCATGTCTCTGGAAACAGAAGTAAAAAATATAGAATCTAGAAGAATATAGACTCTTTGATCCTTCATTAGGACATATATTAAAAATCAATCAATTAAACTTTGGTTTTCACAGTCTTTGTCAGTTAAAGTAGAACAAAAGTACAGCCGGGGTCGTTGTACCTTGTCCACATTGTGCAGATAGTACGAAACCACATAGTCCACCAGGCTGATCCGATTGTCCTGAAATAGAGCAGTGAAGAATGTTTTTCTGAAAGTTTTTCTTTCCCAAAAAATATTTAGGAAATTTAAATAATTCTAAGAAAGCGATCCCAACGAGGGATCTGTGAGAAACTGTTTAACTGCTGGTGACCTTTGACCCAAGGTCATAAAACACCTAGATGATGGTTCTTACTCTGCTCTTGACGTCCTTCAGTTTTGGAAGAATGTCCAGGCCAAAACCGTCAGCCTGACCTCTGGTCCTGTTGCCTCCGTTCATGTGGTTCCCCAGAGCCAACACCAGGCCCATCACCTCCCTCACCTGACTGCTCTCCAGCAGATCCTGAGACCAGGAAAGTGACAGACAGTAGATCAGATCTCAGCTGGGTTTAGATCTCAGGTGTTTGTTTGTTTTTTCTCCTCACCTTACAGACGGAGGAGACAGTGTCGAGCTTTCGATGGACAGACGCGATCGTGTCGTTGAAAACCGACTGAAAGATCATGCAGTGAGCTCTGCCCTCGAAGTCTGGAATCCGGAACAGTTCATACAAGAACCTGGAGAACGGGGACATCAGCATCACTGCACAAACAAGGACGACTGGACGTCACACAGGTCAGACATTTGTCTCCGCTGTTGAAATACTGACTGTTCTGGTTTGTCCAGGAGCTTCACGTCTTCTTCCTTTGACATCTCATAGTGCTGCTTGATCTTCTCCAGCTCGTGGGGCTGAGCTCTCTGACAATTTGATAAAAAAAACCCAAAAATTTCACCAAGTGGTTCAAACATATTGTAATATGTAAAGCCCATACAGTAGAATAATACGTACGTTTTCATACAGGGCCTCTATGGTCTCCAGGTCGACCACAGAGTGGTCCACACTCAGCACAGCTGAAAGTCAAAGGAGAGTTGGTGACTGATTGATCATTGTTTCAGAAAAGATTTATGCAAAAATAAGGATAAAATGTCCTTCACCACGGTCCTCGAACATAAACATTAGCAGCATCAGCAGCGTTAGCATCTGTGGGCCATAGTTTTGTACCTTGTTGAATATCTTTCATCTCCAGGTGGAGGCTGGAGATGAGGATGCCTACGGCCTGAGAGCGTTTACCGTCCAGCAGCTTAATGATCTAAAAACACACAGGCAAGAAAACGCACACACACACACACACACGGAGAAAAACACTTAGTAACCAAGGCTCCGTTGCCACTGTAGGAATCATTAGAAAGCCATTAGTGCAGCCTGTTATTGTGAAGTGAGTGTTGTCAGGGAGAAACAAATGGAATCCATCTTAGATGGTTCAATCCCCTGATGTCTCTCAAACATTGACCAGAAATTTTATTTTTATTTTTAAAAATAATATGTGATGCAGTATGCAGTACTATATTAATGTATGATTGATATGATCAATGTATTTATATCTAAGAATAAATCCATAAATGTAATAATCTCTTGTTGTAATGATAATTCCATTTTATAGAATTCCTGACAAAAAACAAAAAACTAGAGCATTGCTGCCATCTTGTGGACAAAAGTTAAACTGCAACCTGCGGCACGACTGCAGAAACGTTTTTTCTTTTTCCAACCATCTGTAACTAAAGAAATAGACATCCCATAAATTAAAGACGAGCTTTTGAACCTCGTTCCACATCAGTTTGGTGTTCACCTTCTTGGGTTTGGACTTCTTCTCATAAGTCTCAGACAGCGGCTTCCTCTTGGTCTGAGCGGTGGTTTTGGCAAAGAGATCCTCAAACTCACTGGGATCGATTATTGTCGGTTCTTCTAAGATGTTCCACACCGTGTTGTTGCTGCAGGAGAGAGAAGAAATATAATAATAATTTTATATACTGTATATATATATTTATGTGTGTTTTGAAGACTGGGTTGAGCCTCCTTCAGACTGTGAACCTACTTGTTGTCCTTGATCTGGATCCTGGTCCAGTACAGAGGCTTCATGGGTCGTGACGGCTCCACCGCTGCTTTACGTGGACCTTTGTCCAATAAAGAACCTCCATATGGAGGAGTAGGTGGAGCAGCTAGGCCAAACATGGGTAGAGGTGGTGGTGGTGGCAGTGGTGGTGCAAAAAGAGGTGGAAGGGAAGGAGGAGGAGGAGGAAGAGGAGGAGGAGGAAGAGGGGGAGGAAGAAGAGGGAGAGTGGCATTTGATGTCTGGATGTGATGGGTCATGGTTGGTGACAAACAGGGAGGAGGAAGAGGAGGTGGTGGAACATTTGTTTGTGTTGTTGGAGGGAGTTGAGACGAGGGGACAGCTGACGAAGACACTGGACTGTCCCACTGGCTGGCCAGGCCTAGAGTGATGGACGTCATGTCCAGTTTTTTGGGGGTCACCCTCTGCTGCTGAGGACTGGTGGACGACCTCCAGGTGTCCTCTCCATCCTCTGGTGTCTTCACAAACGTTTCTCTATCAGTCTGGATGCAGACGGTGCGGAAAGACTTTTGCAGACAGTCGTCGCCTGTGGACACGGCCACGTCCCTGAGCTCCCCCCTGCAGTGGGACCCAGCCCGGGACACTCTGTCCTGCAGCTGAGCCAGAGTGGACTCCAGGCGGGAGATGTTGTCCTCATTTTCCACACGGAGTTTGAACAGTTCCTCGGCAAACTCCTCCTGAGAGGCAGAAAAATTGAGCACCAGAATTTGGGATTTGCTGCCCTCTTAAGTTACATAATAAAATAGCAACAACCTCCACCCCCCCTAGAAAATGATTACATGGCATCAATCATTTCCTCTGTTTATCTCCAGCCACAGGTTGTCCTTCACACTGACCTGTATCCTCTCCAGCTCCTCTTTACATTCTCTCTTCAGCTGCAGCAGAGCAGCCTGGTGCTCTGAGGGGAAACAGAACCCAAACAAGGAAAACAAGATAAATGACTGTTAGAGTTAATTATTTAAATATACTGGGTCAAAACAAAAACACTCCTGAAGGCAATTTATTTTGGAAACTCTCTGAAGCTTTAACTGCAGGCCTTTGAGGTTTATTTTAAATACACAATACTAGTCTTGGCCACGTGAGGGCAGCAGAATCTCAGAATATAAATGATTTATGTGGCTGTTGTCATACAAACTTCATTTTTTAGCCACACAATCGTATTTAAATATACAGTACATCTTGTTGTTTTCTTTTACTCATAGATTAAATAATATTCTAACCTGCATTTCATTTCAAGTGGTAAAAATGAAAATGTGATTCGCTTAGCAAAACCCTTCTATTTTTTTTTTGTTCAGTTTAATTTTCACATTGACACGTTCATGATTTCTACAAACGTCCCTGAGGAGTCCATCATCTCAGCAGTACCTGCCTCTGTGTACTTCAGACCAACTTTTTCCTCTTTGACTGGAGGCCAGACGGCTTGTAAACGACCCGGCGTTCGTTCTTCTCCCTCTGCTGGCGTCGAAGGGTCAGACTAGAGAGGACAGTAACATTTTATATTGTTAGAGGGTTTGATTTTGTTTCCAAAACAAGACTTTGAACACATTTCTTTTCACTGTCCCACAATGCACCACAGTGTTACTGTGAAGATATGTTTGAACTGAGACTCCACTCTTTCTTCCTACTTTTCCATCGGCTGACTCCTTCTTCTCGGTCATCTTGGACGACGCCCTCTCAAACAGACTTCTGAGAACTTCTGTTTCACTCCGTATCTTCTTCCTCACGGCCTCCAGGTCCATCCTGTCTGCGGGATCTCTCTTCAGAGGCTTTGGGGTGAAAAAAGCCTTGAAGGCGTCAAACGCTGCCTCAGCACTGGACACTGGAGATTTCACAGAATCCAACGAGCCTGAAATTCCCGAGTCATTGTCTTCTTTCTCAGAGGACTCTCGCCTTTCATCATCATCGTCATCATCACCGATCTCCTCCTTCTCCCCTTTAGCATTTCCTTTCTTCTCTCGATTTAGGAACTGGGATATCTGGTCCAGGAAGTTCCCCTGAGTTCTGATCTCATCCTGCTTCTCTGGAACAATGTCTCGCTGAGATGAAGGTTTGATCCAGGAGATGGTGTCATGACCTGGTCCCTTCACTCCTTTCCTCAGGACCCTCAGGCCACTGAAGAGGGCGGGGAGCTGGATCTGCTTCTCTGTTGTGGATCCAGCTGGAGGTTCAGCTGGTCTTACTCTGAAGGGTAATGACTGATCTTCTTCTTCTGCTTCCTCTGTCTCACCTGCGTCCTCCTCGTCGTCACTGTCAGAGGTGGCCTCACCAGCTCGTTCTTCAACTTCCTCCAGTAATGGTTGAGCTTCTTCAGCAGAAGCTCCTGGTTGATCCTCAACATCCAGATCTAAACTGGTGATGGAACCTTCCTTGACGTCGCCATCGTGAACATCTCCACTTGTTTTTGCAGCTGTTTTTACATTTTCTTTGCATTTTCCAGCGTCGTCCTGCTCAACAGCACTACGTGACAAACAGTCATCGTGTATTTTTGTGCATTCAGTAAAACTGTGTTGGCAGCCTGGCAGCAGAGATGCCTTCAGAGCAGCTCCGCCCTCTGAGCTCTCAGGTAGAAAACAACCACTGACATCAGAGTTCTGGATGTCATTTTTGTACTTTTCAGCCTCACTCTCCTTCTGTGGATGGTCAGGTTTCTTCTCCTGCTCTGATTGCTGACGGGCCGTGACGCCGCCTCCGTCAGAAAATATGACGTATAACAAGGAATCTCTGTCAAAAGCATTTCTGCAGTTGAATTCTTTGAATTTCTTTGGATAAACCAACTCTTCCTGCAGCATTTCCTCATTTTGCTCTTCTGAAAATGTCCTTAAATATTTAAGAATGGCTTTGGGGTTCTCCATTCTCTGCAGGTAGTAGTGTCTCTCACACAATGTTGTTTAGTGTTTCTCCAAAACAGGCAGCTGTGTTTACACTGTGTTACTGTTCATTCTGCACATGCACCATGCACTTCTACGCCTTCACAGCTCCAAGCTCATGCAGCTTCGACGCATTCTCAATAATCATCATAGAATTGCTTAAGAATCCGACCTTTTTCTGCTCCAGCGTGCTGAACACAAACCAGTCCTCTCACTGTTTAAACTGCTTCCTCATGTCTGACCAGACTGGACTTATTTTCCAAACCTAAATCTGGAAGCTGTAGTTAGTGCCCGACAGCAGCCAATGGCAGGAGAGAAATCCACTAAGCAATGGAAAAGAAAAGTTTTCCAAGTTTTCCGCTCTCCGTGGCTGTGCCTGGCTGCAGTGACTCAGCTTCAGCTCTCAGCTCAGCTTCAGCTCCAAAGATTCAGTCAAATCCATGTTCAGGGTTCGAGTCCAGCCCTGCTGCTGTCACAGTCACCGTGGAGCAGCACCACCGTCTGTCACTGTGTAATCACAGACAGATGGTCCACTTAGAGCTGCTGCTCTGACAACACCTTGACAGATCCGCGAGACACGAGGTTAAAAAAAATGTAGCCACCCACAACAGACAGGGAGTAAAAAACCACGCCCGGGGTAAATAAGATCTGCCCCGTGTCACTGGGAGATGTTTGGATGTGAATCGGTGCCAGCAGGATCTGGAAACTCTCTGTGGAGTTCTACTGCAGGCACTGAGCAGCAACCAGCTAATCTGTGGGGTTTGGTTCCTACACACACACACACACACAAACACACACACACATAGAGCCTGTGAACCAGACCTGCTCTGATTCCTCACTGATCCAACAGTAGTGTGAGGTGTAACTGTAACAACTGAATAATGTCTGCCTTGGATATAAAAAAGAAAAACAAACAAAATACATGTGCTGCTCTAGGCCTAGACCGCTGAAGGAGCTGTGTGTATCTGTGTTCACCCTACAGTTACATGTAGAATAGAATAGATTTGACATACAAAATAGAATATGATAAAGTAGAATGTATACTTGGTGCCTCCAGGGGGCAGTCTGTTGAAGAAAAAGTTAAAATATTGCAAATGTAAATATTATTGTATTTTATGGACAAATATTAAAGACAGTAACAGAAAGACTGGACATGACCTTTGGTGACCTATTGTCATTTATCAAATTGAAACTGACTTCAGTTCAGTGTCGATAATTAAAACCAACAAATCTAAAATACTTTTACTGTAACTAAATAAATGTATCTGCCATCAGTGGACACAACAACTGCACTGGATATCAGTCCAAACTGTCTTCATGTGTAATCTGTGAAATCCTGTCCTGTCATGAACATCCAGACTGACGCTGTGTCTCCACTCAGGTTGGAGCGTCCTCTGTGGCTGACTCCTGTTTGTCTAACATCCACCTCCGCCCTTGTTTGTCCTGATGCCAGTGCAGACAGCAGGTGAGTGACAGATGACACCAGTGATAACGCTGATCAATGTGTACAGCTCCCACTCTCAGTCGGGTCCATAAATACCAATACCACGTCCCAGTGAGGGACACGGTGGCCTCTGTGTGAGACCTGTTTATGTAATAAGAATGAATGTAGATAATCCCATGGAATAGCGTTAAATCCCAAAGGCACACACACACACACACACACAGAGAGTCAAACTCAGCAAACATGCTGGATTAAATTCAGCGTTTGTTGATTCTTTAGATCACAAGGTTTTGAGCACATGGACGACAGAGAGTGGAAACTCAAACATAAAGTCTCAACCCCCCCCCAACTCAACTGTTGAAATTCCATTTTAGTGGAGTCAAAGGTTTGACCACAGTCAAAGAATACCATCGTATACAGACGGAGTATTGACTTGTGTACTCACTTATACCAAATACCATACCAATACTTCTTTTAGTAGTGAGTTTTAGGAAGTATGCAATGACCTGGAGCCGGTATATATATATATATATAGTTAAAATATTTCCCAGGAGTATGCATTGACCTGGAGCCAGTATATATACAGTATTCTTTATGTAAATTCTAAGTGGAAAATCTTACATAATTATAACTGTAAAATGGTCACAATGACAGTATGATGTCATCATCTGCATATATATACATATATTTGCCAAAGACTCAACTTAATGCCTGATACTTTAGCCTGAAAATAATTCATGCAATTCGCTTGAGCTGCTTTACGTTACGCAAAGAGCCAGAACAAGGACAACAACAACAACAAGGACAGATCCAGTAGACGGTACCAACAGGTCCCTGACTGTACATATGGATCAGTTCTTAATACGATGTCCTCATAGAGCTGCATTAAACCCCTGCTGTTACGTAAGTGCAGGGAACAGAGTGGTCTTTGTGACGGCGGACCGGCGCCGTGAGGTCACTGTTTACACCTGCATCAGTGTGATGTGGGTCAAGGTCAGGACAGAAGTTTGGATGTGTTCTGAGTGGAGACAGTGGATATATTTGGAGACTTATTTTAGAGACGCTGCGGCGGGACAGTGACATAAGTCGTCAGAGGAGAACAGGGAGGCTGGTGTGGTTCACTTTTTGACTTTTCGACAGTTTACTTTTCTCCATTTCTGTCATGCTACTCACCCAAAACTCTGGAGGAAGTGGACTGGTTGTTGGCGTGTCCAGGATATCGTCCTCAGGGGCAGTGATGCGTAGAAAGTCGATGTGTTTTGGTCTGGAGGGATGGGAAAGCCAGTGACAGAAGGAAAGTGACTCCTCGACCTCCTGCTGCCAGAGCTGCTCCTGCCTCTGGAGAGCTCCATCTGCAGGAGAGAGGAGAATGACACTCAAACCACAGCTGAGAGAAATGAGACTGTTTTCTGCTGTGTTTGGGTAAATGGGTCATGATATTTGGTTTTTACCATATAAATGGGACAGTTTTTTTATTTCAGCTGGTCCAAAAAAACCAAAACATTCTACCTGAAGAGAGCATATCGTCTCCGTCATCTTGTGTTTCACATCTGCATCTGTTGACATCCTTTTGATAGTCACTGATTTCCTGAAAGATCACAGAATTAACCTTTGGAAATAAGTGATCTTCTGATATTTCCTGCTCTGTGTGACCCCCTCCTCCCAGGTTGTTTGGTTTGACAGGTGCAATTGTAGCAACATTTTGCAGAAATGCAAATGAATCGAGAGCAGTTTCCTCATCAGCTGAACGAGACGACGATGCATCGATCGGCAGCTGTGAGGAGTTACAGGTCGTGACAGGTGGAGGGTGTGATGGAAGGGTCTTCTTCACCGACTGATCCTGGTCACAGCAGCTCTGCTCTTCCTCCACGAAGGCCACGACATCTGCTCTCGCCCCCTCCAGCCTCAGAGCCTGGTGCAGACTTCTGCTCACAGCCTCACACAGGACACGGAGCTCTTCCACCAGACGCTGTTGACATGCGTGGGACTCCATGTTGTCCTCCAGAGAGGGGTCACTGACCTCAGGTCTGCACCTCAGCTGCTCCTCACGGTCTCCTCTGTCTGTGAGGAACCGATCTTCCTGACTGCTCTCCTCCTTCTCTTCGATCCCGTCTAAACTCGTGAGACTCATCCTTCGTATGATTCCTTCAACTTCATCAATCTTGCCCATTATTCGCTCTTCAAACCAGCTCTGATTGGATGTTACTTTCTCATCTTCCGCCCTGTTTCCCTCACGTTTTTGAACGTCTGGACGGTTGATGTAAACTTCTGGCGTTCTGCAGGTTCTCTGCTCCGTTCTCATGGTTGAGTCAGGATTCGGATCAGAGAATTCATTGTCAACAAAAAAAGAATCTTCTCCTTTCAAAGAGTCTCCATCAGATGCCTTCAGACTCCGGCACGTGTTTGTCTCTGCTGGTGACTCGACTGTGGAATGCACATGTGAATTCCCAGGAATCTTCCCGAGACGATGGCTGAGGCCTTCCAGGTAACACTTGATTAGCAGACTGGGATTTTTGGTGTTGATCTTGAAGCCCTCTCGGCTCCCTGCGCTGATGAAAGCTCGACATTCCAAACACATGAGCAGCAGCTCTGACAGCCAGCGGATCTCAGAGGAGACGTCCAGCGCTTTGAGGGTTTCTTTAAAGTCAGTCAGGCTGAATCTGTCTGCTTGACCCCACATGGCAGCTCCAGATGGGTCCTCCTCCGGCAGCAGGAGGTCAGTCTTCATTAGAAGAAGGAGGAGAAGAGAGAGGGAGAGGAGGATTCACAGGTTCTTTAGCTGAGAGGTGATGGGGTCGTTCTCCATGATGCTTTTGCTGCTTTAAGACTTTTTTAACAACATTCACTGAAACAGAAACATGTAAAAACAAAAATCACTAATCTAGGGAAACCACAGGTAAATGTTAGCTTAATATAAGGAGGTGGAAACAACAAATGTCATAAACAAAAAACCTAAATAAAATATGACATGTATATCAGGTTAAATGTTTTAAGTTACGGAAGGATGAGGAGAATGACCAAATGATAAAAAATAAATAATACAAAACCAACAAATAGTCAGTGCAGAAAGATGTGAAACAATCAATCAAAAAACAAGTCACAAACTACAAAACTAACAATCAGTAAAAAAAACTAGACCCAGATAACCGGCTACTACTTAAAGTGAGTCGTATTAGTCTAAAAACTGTTTAAATCAGATGCCGTTACCTGGTCATCCCTCAGTCCTGCAGCAGGTCAGTGTCCTCCACCCTGCTGCTCTCTACTGACACACGGTGGCTCTGTCCAATGACGGCGGTCGCTGCAGGTTGAAATGATTCCTATTGGCTCCTCACATGGAGATGAGTGTCAGTGCAGTAAATCCTCCAGAGCTGACACACACACACACACACACATTAACAAACAGACGGTGTGGTCTCTGTGAGGATTAGAACTTCTTCTAATCTTCACATCACTGTAAGAATGAATGGACACCACCTGTTGGTGAACTGTGGAAAGATCTAAAATTTTATGTCACATTTTTCCACATTTCACATTTACTATATCACATAAAAGATTGGTAATGATAAATAAATTAGTAATTTTTTTCTTTTTTTCTTTGCTACACCTTGATGGTGCTCAGCCTGGTGGGGGCAGCAGGGGGGCGGGGCTTACAGTACCACAGGCGGCGGGGCTTACAGTAGCACAGGCAGGTTACTAGTCCACCAATCCCCATCAGTTACCACTAGGGGTCGAGGCCCTGACCTACTGAGCCTCCTGCTGGTTAATGGACAGCTCATTAGCATACTCTGTAGGTCAGACCCACACAAACTGTGGGCTGGTTAGTTAGCCCAGGGGGGAGGAGCTAATCTGAGCACGTGGGCAGATGTCTGTGGTGGATTACAGACATTCAGGGGGAAACAAACAGCTGTCAGTGTCCCTGTGACTACAGTACNNNGTAAGTGTCGCGGTGACTACAGTACAGACTGCCAGTGTCCCTGAAAAATATAAATGCAAGTATTTAAGTAAAAACTTTACCAGTGGGTTTCCTTGGTCCAAGTATTTAAGTAACAACTTTACCAGTGGGTTTCCTTGGTCCAAGAACCAATGTTGTGTCGCTGGTAAAGGTGAGGACAACTGACAAAATGTGGACCTAAATGTCAACCACAGACATTGAATAAATAAAAATCCATCAAACCTCTTGCAGCAGCAGATGCGACACTTGTTGAACGATATGATTGGATATTAATAAATATTATAAATGATCGACAGGTTCGAGCTCCGAGTTACAGAGATGTTGTGTTAAGACTCAGTGACAGGTTTTCAGTTGACAAACAACAACATCAAAGTCATTTCCTCATTGGCCAACGATGTTGTGGTACACACAGAATAGATTCACAACACCGCCACTAGATGTCATCAATGTCCGTGGTAGCGCTGTTGCAGGGAGTCGATCAGGCTTTGGGATTTGGGATTATAAATAAGAGTTAATTACAGATTCTGTCCTAGGAAATCTGTAAACTACAACTAAACGATTCAGATGACGTTCAGAAAAGAAGAAAAAAGAAATATTTTCTCTGTTCTTCTGTGACTTTATCAGTGCATTTCAGTGTAGTAGGAACCAATCCATCTGCACATTTTTCTCCTGTGTATATGTACAATGGAGGAAGAGGGAGGGAGGGAGGAGGTGAGAGCATCTGTGAAGCTTTAGGCAGACACAGACAGAGACAGAGACGAGGGGGAGACGAGGGGGGAGGCTGCTGTCTCTAACTTTACATTCAGCCCCGCTGCTGCTGCTAACGTCTCCCCCCTCTGTCACCTCCGTGTGTCATACAAATGAGGAGGGGGTCCTCAAAGGTGCCGAGACCCAGCACTCAGGTGGAGGGGTTCAGTAGATCATCATCATCATCATCATCATCATCATCATCATCATCATCCTGGTTCTTTTTCTTCTTCCTAATTCTCATCATCAACAAAAGTCGTCATCATTATCATAACATTTATCATGAAAACGTTGATCATCATCATCATCATCATCTTCATCCTCCTCCTGAGCCACAGATGAGAGAAGCATCATCATCATCATCATCACTCAACGGCTCTCGTTGCTGCTGCTGCTCCTGTTGATTCGTCTGGATTTGGGAAGGAGGACGAGGAGGAGGAGGAGGAGGAGGATGTGAAGGGAGGGAGGAGGGTGGATGAAGCGGTAGGTAGGTGTGAAAGGAGCAGCAGCAGAAGAAGCAGCAGGAGGAGGAGAAGAGAGAGAGGGGGAGGAGGAGAAGGGGGGTGTCGCCGGTCTGCCCTATATGGCTGTGGACGAGCTCTCTGCTAATATCGGCTTGAGAGGCGCAGCGTCGCGTCTCTGGCGACAGTCAGTGGTGGCTTCCAGAGTCTGAACAGGCTCCTTCGCAGCCATGGCTGAGGGCGGAGAAGGAGAAGATGAGATCCAGTTCTTGAGAACTGTAAGTAAAGATCCAGAAAAAAAAAAATCTGAGGGAATTCGCCGCTGCTGCGAGGACTTCTCTGTTTCGCTCACTCGTAAATCCAACATTCACCGATGAAGCTCGGGATTTGGATGAAGTTTTTCATTTTTGTTTTTTGGTTTATCTATTTATTCAAACGCATCAACAGTTGGGGTGGTGTCTGGACCACCATGTCTGTGTTCCACTGCTGCTTGTGCTGAAGTTGCCGCATGTTTCGCTGTGCACCTGTCGATGGGACTTTTGACCAGGAGGCAGGGGCGCGCACAAATATTTTGGGGATTCAGGTGCCCGAGAAGTGAAGTGAAAACGGAACCTCACTCTGTTTACTGTGGAAAACAGTACCGCGTCCCTGTATGGATTAAAAAGTCAAATATGTGGGATCATCAAAATTTATTTGCCAAAGAGGAATTAGGTATTAGGTATATGAAGTATCTATGAAGTAAATCTGACTGTGCAAGTATTTGTGTGTATTTTTCTTGCAAGTCTTGCATTAAGTTACTGTAGTGGTGGTATCCATTATACTAATAGTAGTGTTGTCTTGGCTAAATGTTAAATTTTGATTACTTTTTTGTGAATTTTGCAGTCAGTTAACGTTCTTTATTATCGTTAAACACTTAGCTATCTGTGGTTGAGCTTTTGATATATTTTTTGATTTTTCTTTCATATTGCTAACTGAGACTTTGGTTGACGTTTCTGGCTCTGGGCTTCCTAGGTTTTGTTTAACTGATTCCTTTGAACATTTCTATTTGATTTCACTTTTATCTACTGTAGATGGAACTAAATCTTTTCGGTTTCTTGATTCAGCCTCTTCACTCCACCTATATATTGTCGGCTGTTGTTGTTCTAGTTAATGAAGCCTTTGCGTTGCATGTCATATGGATGTAAAATATAATTCATGGTTTCAATGATTTGGCATCTTTATGTGTGAGTGAGTCTGCAGGTGCCAGGGCACAAATGGCTTTACACACTCTCACCATGTCACTCCACACCCACACTTCCTCTGCCTCCACCTGGACTCTTCTGTAGCACAGTATCATCACTCTGTTTCCTGACCAACTGTTGATTATTATTATTCATATTTTACAAACTTTTTTTTTTCTCTTCTGCTTTGGAATTACTCTCACTGCAGCTATACTCTCTCTCTGTCTCTCTCTGTCTCTCTCCCCCCCTCCCTCACACACACAAGCCTCCTTTCTGGGATTACTATTTTAGCTGTTTGACTCGGATCGCTTGCGGTGTCCGTGCACTCTGTGGTCGTTCACAGCAGTTATTCTTGTAAATGATATGACAGCTTGTATGTTGGTGCGGTGGACATATCTGTCATGGCTGCCCAACCGCTACACGTACAATATAGTCCCCGCTCTCTCTCTCTCTCTCTCTCCCTCTTTATAGGGCCCAGGTGTTGCACGGAGAGTAGTGTGACTCAGTTGTGACTCAGACATTCACAGCACAGCTGGGAAATTCAATCTAGTGGGACATAGTTTTCTATAAACCCTAATTATGTTCACTCCTGTTAACCCTCAGTCTGCTACTGGAGTCTGGCTGTTAAAAAAACCAACCAGAGGTTTGGCATAAAATATCCTTACATGTGCAATGGAACACTGAAAAGAATGTTATGTATAGGAGTTGGGCCGTGGTCTCCTCTGCTAACACAAAATGTGGATTTTTATCAGCACATGGGACCATGTTATTGTCTGTAGTTCTGAAAGGTTTCTAACTGTGCACGGCATCGACTTGTTGTCAACAGTCTGGTGTTTAATGTTTGTTTTTTTGTTTTTTTGTAACCTTGTTCTAACTGTGTTTACATGAAGCTTGGATGCTGTGGCTGTCAGTTTGTCAAACCTTTTTTTTCTTCAGCAGTCAATTCAGTCTTGGTTAACTTTTATACTTGGAGGATGATTCAACCCAGAGACATTATTGTTGTACTTTCTGCTGAGGTTAACTGTTTACCTGTAGCTGAGGCTCTGGTAAAGGTTAGTTCTGTGGGTTTTTTTAGGTAATGAATTAACATTTGTCTTCAGGACTTAGAGCGCCCCCTGATTAAACAGGGCCCTAAGGTTCTGTGAATGTTTTTTTTATACCCTTGACTTTGAGGTTGTATCTTCATAACCAGGGTTATTGGTCACGACCCATAACTGACGGCCATACTTGCTTTGCTGCCATCTACTGACTGTATACGTTAGAACTCCCTGTATCTTGATGAAGCTGGACGTGGCACCTTCTCCTCCAGTGATTATACAATAGATATTAGTTAGTGAATGTAGGACGGAGGTCTTAAAAATATCACACTAATAAATCATAAAACAAGCTAAACCTAAAATAGCCCAATAGCTTGGCCAACACTGGGGCTGCCAAAATGTTCAAAAATACAATTTGGCCAAGAAACCAAGTGCAGCCACTATATCTAAAGCCCCAAAGAAAATACGATAATATTTTGTCAGAACAACAACTCAGCCAAGATATAAAAAAAAAGTCTGAAAATCCTAATGCAACAGAATGGCTAATCAGGTGGCTAAAGGTTAGCTTTGGCAAACAATAATAATAAAAAAAACTGTGGGCTACATAAACACCAGTCAAGGAGCTACCTGGAGACTTTACTCCCCCTGTTTCCCCCCCTCAATTACCATAATATTAAAAACTCTTGTTGTATAATCTTTATGTGAATTCCTCAGCTCTTGGCCAGTTGTCGGGCGTAGGCGCGACCCCCGCCTTCAGCAGCTCCTACTATTTGTGATGCCAGTGATATGCTGACCCACTCCTCTCAGATTCTACTGTCACATTGGCATCCTGCTTATCTGATGACAACGGCCATTTGGGAAGAGAGGGGCTTTCCCTTGGGTGGGGGGGGGGCCTCCACCGGGCCTTGTTATCGAAGCTAGGTGCTGAGAGAACCGCGCTCTCAGGGGAGGCCTTAAAATAAGAGCGCTAATTGAAACACGCTAAATTACAATCTGCAGAACACTGGTGGATCAGGCAGTCATTTTTCTGCTGGGGGGGGGGGGGGGGGGGGGGGGGGGGGGGTCGGTGGCAGATGACGTTTGTCAGCGACGGTGTTTGCATCTTTGTTTAATCGTATGGTTGAAGGAAACGCTGACAGTCAGAGGCTGCAGCTGTTGTCAGGTTTTTTATTTTATACCAAGTTGCATCTTTAAACCGATGTTTCTGAACGTTCCGCAGGGTCCGGCCAGTCAAGCTGGTTCTGGTATATGAGAGAAGGCTTCTGTCAGGCGCTGACAGATGTACTGCTGCAGTGTTGATGTGTAATGTTGGTGAAGCTGGCAGTGATGAAAGTTTCTCTGTCGGGGGGAAATCAGCAGCTGAGAGGAGCAAAATGAAGACAACAAACTATTTTTACTTTTGTTTCAAAAGTCTCACAGAAAAACACGGACCGGAGATTTAGCAGTTTGGATCATTCCAATGGTAATTTACATGAAAAAAAATAGACCATCTAGTTTATAATAATACATTTTTATTTTTCTTATTACTTAACTGTAGACTTAAAAAATAAATCTAATTTTAAGTATTTTGGCAAACATTTGGCTATTTAAACTTTTTTTATAGACAATCTAGTTTATAATAATAAACTTTCTTCTCATCTACTTAACTGTAGACTAAAAAATAAATATAATTTTAAGTATTTTGGTAAACATTTGGCTATTTAAACTTTTTTTACTAGGTTAAAATGTGATTGTGATGTTTAAAAGGCTAAACACCATTTTTAGGCTAATTCAGTTATTAGTGCTGCCCTGATTTATTGCCGAGAGAAACTAAATCTTCTGCATTCACCGATGAGTAACGAATCCTTGGACACCTCATTACCTCTTCCAGGGATTTTTAAAACCTGCTTTTTTAGCACCATATGTGAAAAGTGTGAAAAACATATTATCTCAGTTTGATGCCGAGTGAGGCCCTCTGCTGTTAACTTTGGGGTAAGATAGGAACAAAGCTCTAACTCCTGGTGCAGACTGTGCTGTAATTCACCAAATCGGCGGTGGTTTGTGCTCAGACAGAGCGGCGTAATTGCTTTTCCATTAGATAATGGTGTGCAGTCAGCTGTATCATTGGCTGTCGTTACAAACCAATCCTGCTGCCGTGTAAAAACGTCACGTTGTAACAACATACAGTGCGGGGAAAGAACCAGTGAGACTGTTCCACTGAACTGCAGTGACCGGACGATGTTTTTGTTCAAAATCTTCGGCCGTTTTCGACATATTTTTGTTTTCCAAATACCAACGTCAAATCCTACAACTGTGCGGCATGTTGTTCACGGATCGGATTACTCCAGCCGCAGAACGTATACGCTACACGTGGGGCCACTAATAAAAACCTGATATTGTTGTATCCTCCACCAACATCATCACGGACTGATTTACATCTGCCAATCACACGGTTCGTCCCTAATCCAGGAAGCATTTATGGCTCAGCTTAATGTGTAACCTCAGACGACCAACACTTACATTAATGAGGCCACTCACTGTGTTATTGTCAGCACAGCCCATAGTACTGGGCCTAACTACCACCAGTCAGAGTGGGGCAGTCATGGTCAGGGCAAAAAGGCGTGTTTGTGTCTGTAAAGGTAGAGTACGCAGGAATTTTACATTTGTGTTTTGCAAAAACAGAAATATGCTAAACGTTTTGTTTCATATTTTTCTCCTCATTTGTCACTTTTGAAAGTTCTAGGCTTCCCTCTTTGCTAATATTTGGAACTTTCCGTGTAACCTGTGTGTCTTCATGGACTACAGTCTGCACACATGCAGGATTTGGTCTGTTTTTCATTCTAACTCTAATTGACCGTAGCTGTGAATGTGAGTGTGAACAGTCGAATGTTATATTTTGTTTGTGGCTCAGTGATGGGTTTACTGTACCGTCACGCTGACCTCGCCCCACACTTTAGCTCCATCTCTGACCCTGGACAAGATGAAGCCATAAAGATTGAATAAACGAAGGTGTTCACTCTCACTTTGTTTTTCTGACGGAAC